GAGCGTTGAGTGATCAATGCATATCAGCCTTCTCCACTCTACCCATATGGGTAATACCCTTCACAATTCTAGTGGGTGAGTAAGTGTGTTCGTGCCTTTCACTTGCAGAGGCGAGTTCTGGGTGTATCATGCCTCTTGCAACACACCTCCTTTGGGTGTTCTCCTTTAGGGGAATCCACATTGCTCCCTGCGTGACTGCCTTCAGGTGTGAACCAATGCAGTCCAGGGTATAGCCAGGCACATTTCACTGTCCAATCAACTAACAAATCTGACCTTATTTTTGTAAATGAAAGACTCTTGTGGAATGGTAGCTTGCCACATCCACCCACCAGTGCTCTGAGACCCCTGTACACTTTGTTTTCCAAGTATGGACCTATAGCAATCTTTGTTTGGAATCATTTAGTTTTGACTATTTGTTTTTAATTGGATGTTTTGTTTTAGATGGGTAATTTTGAGCTTCAGAGCAAATTTGTCTCTATAGCATAGTCTTCAAATGGGATAGCATTGTTGGATACTTTACAGCAGAAAGCCCAGCCAAAAGCAGCAGCAGAAAATACGCAATACTAATCTGATTGGAGAGCTTACCCACACAAGATCTTCCAACTCCCTGGGACCGATATCCTCTTGGACACACACAACGGTAACTTCCTCGTGTGTTCTCACAAATCTGATTATAGCGGCACTGGTGGGTTCCATCCCGGCATTCATCAATGTCTGCAAGCAACAAGGCAAAGGGAAGTAGTCAGAGTTTTCTTGAAATTTCTTACAGCTTTAAACTTAATGTATAAGGAATGCGGTTAAGCCACAAGTGAATTTGGCCCTCTAGATAGATTTGGCCTCTGAAATTACACTGTTCTTACCTGGTGCCATGATTAGGCATTATTCTATAACAGTTTGTGTTATGAATTACCATCTGCGTTTCAGAACCCAAACGCAGGTTTTGAGCAGACAGACAGATAAATTTTTCAACCATACTGCATTTACACATGCTTTTTCCATTAATTTGCAAAACTTTTCATGGAGGTTTCCAATGTGATCAGCTACTCTCCAAAGAGACATAAACCATCTTCCTGTCACATCCCATTAGAAAAAAAGATTTGGTAGTGTATATAACATTGGTTATGTTTAAAAGCATCCCTGATAAACAGCAAAGACCTGTGATCTTGATTCAGAGCTCCTGAGACAAACTCTTAAGAAAGCATTCACACATGGGGCAAAACATTTCAGGCAATGAACAATTTGTAGAATTCAAGGCGACTACACAGAAAAGACGCTGAGGAAAACCTTACTGTTCTCTCTCAAGAGAAATGGAAAACTAGAAGTGGCAAGGACACATCTATTCTTCTAATACCAGTTACAAAAAAGTTAAATACAGATGTTCCCATAAATGAAAAAAAAAGTTGGTGCCTTAATATGTGCAAAACTTAATAACTGGAGGTGGACTAGATCCAAGATATATTTTTTTTAAAAAAAATCATCATACAGTACATTAACACTTCTACTCACCAATACAAGTTCCATTTTCTGCTTTGGTCATTCCATTGGGACACAGATCAATGCACTTATAGCCACCACGGGTGTTTTTGCAAAGTTGATCAGGCCTGCATACGTTCTGCCTGCACTCATTTACATCTTATTTAAAAAAAAAAAAAAGCAAGAATGGAAATGAACTTGCTTCGTTATGCTCAGTTCCTAAAGAGCAGAATAATCCAGCTGTAATTACACTGTGTACATGCATTTGAACGTATTTCACGCACATCTATCAGTCAGCCCAATTCCCGTTTCCTCTAGCTTTTAGTACTGCTCTACAAATTCAGAAATACATACTAAGTATATCATCCATAGTAGGATCTTCATTCATAAAGGTTTCCGATAACAAATATAGCAACAAATAAATGTTGAACTGTGTCCATTGGAAAGAGAAAAAACATTCAAAAATTCATTCATACCCATGCATTTTCTGCCCTTTAGCTGGTATCCTGGATCACAACCACAGTGGAAACTTCCTATAGTATTGAAGCAACGCTGATGACAGGAGTTGGACTCTTGACACTCATTAACATCTGTTGAACAATACAAATCCTTGATAACATAGCTGTGAATTGCCTTGTCATTTACCTGAACAGTGTTTTGGTTGAGTCAACGTTCTGGACTCTGCTTTGAGCTCTAGTTATTACACTATTGAGGTATGTTCAGAAGTGTTTACTTCTCTCACTTCTTTGTAAAAGAAAATGCACATGGGACACAAAAGCAAAAATGTTAGGTTATTCCCTGATAGGATTTTAAATTTATTTCTAAAGAAATATCAGTTTATGAAAGCTAACACCAAAAATCAAAAACCTCTCCATACCTTGGCAGCTAAATCCATCACCTGTCCTCCTAAAGCCGTCCCCACATCTAACCACACAGCGGTATGATCCAATGATGTTTTCACAGTCCTGGCCAGCATGGCAGTTATGTCCACCTAATGCACACTCATCAATATCTATAATTAAAAACAAGCTGTAAACATCACTATGGCAAAATGAGACACAGATTAAGCAGTGCCTTGAGCATAATGAACTATGAAATACTTGATTGCAAATATATTCAGATATGAATTAATTACAACACCAGCAATAAATTATATTCTTAGAATGAGAAAATGGCCCAGCCCAAACAGAACATTTCCTTAGTGATTTAAGTGCCACGGGCCTTTTTGTATCCAACCGGTCTACAACAATACTTAGCTTACCCTGACACGTTCTACCATCTGCAGAGATAGTGAGGCCTTTCGGACAGGAGCAGTAGTAAGATCCCATGGCATTATGACAGATATGGGAACAAGGATTTCGCACGGCACATTCATTTTCATCTGGAACAAGGAGACGTTTGAAAAACCAGTGAGACTTCACAAGACTTTACAAGAAATTATACCAAACCCTTCACAAGAGGTATAAGTCTGGAAGTGCCCACAGGTCAAAACTAGATCTAGCAATGAAGCAGCTTCACAGAAACGGTTCAGCGATGCATTTTCCACTCTTATTTTTACCATTACCAAACCTACACTAACATGGCTTGTGTTAGCTCTGTAGGACTGGGTCACTGCCATGGTAATGAATGTTTGATTCAGTCTTTCCCAGAGAATCTCTTTACACCAGAACAGATGAGTTTCATTGTCAGACTTAAGATTTCCTATATACACATGCAAAAATTACTACATGTTCCACAATAAACTTTCAGAACACGATTTGTTTTACAGATGATACTGCAAGTGGAAAATCGTTTTAGTGACCTTATGTTCAGTTTTCACCTTTTGGATGGTGTATTTGTTTCTTGTATAGTTTCCTTAAATATGCATTTCTTTTTTTCTTATATAGTTTCCTTAATTTATAAGCTTTCAAGGGCCAATTAAATAAGTCCACAAAAGTATATCAGATGATTGTTCCCTAAAACAAATATGACTCAGTCATCTAGAGGAGACAGCTAAAATGCTCATAACCTTCTCTTCACGGCCATTCCCCCAAGCAGGAAGTTGTGAGCTGTCGTCTAGGTTGCTGACACTTGACCTTCCTTTCACACAGGTCACTTAAGTGCTTCACTGTCTGCAGGCTCAGCAGATACCATGGCCCAGTGTCCCCAGGATCTATCTGAGGTACTCTTGACAAGCTGTTTGGGCACTACTTATATTCTAGATGAGTACAGAAGTGAAGTCTTCATCTGCCTTTGGATCCACACCCTTTTCTCAACAGTAACTTCAGTTTTTTGAAGTACATACTGCATGCACGGAAACTAGAAAAAGGCGATGTAGATTCTGGTTGTAGAGTACTGCATCCAGCTCTGGGGCCCCAAGCACAAGACAGACATGGATACCTCAGAGCAGGTCAAGAGGAGGCCATGCAAGAGGTCAGAAGGCTGGTACACCTCTGCTATAAAGAAAGGCTGAGAGGGTTGGGGCTTTCAGCCTGGGGAAGAGAAGGCTCCAGGGAGACCTTATTGCAGCCTTTCAACATATGCCCTTTCAGGACAAAGGGTAAAGATTTTGAACTAAAAGAGAGTAGACTTAGACTGGAAATTAAGAATAAATTTTTTACAACGAGGGTGGTGAGGCACTGGCACAGGTTGCCCAGAGAAGCTGTGGCTGCCCCCTCCCTGGCAGTGCTCAAGGCCAGGCTGGATGGGGCTTGGAGTAACCTGGTCTAGTGGAAGGTGGCCCTGCCCATGGCAGGGGCGTGGAACTGATTAAACATCCCTTCCACCCCAAACCGTTCCATGAGTCTATGATTACACACTACCCTTGTCACACCATTACCTGAACAGTAAGGCCCAGTTGAGTCCAAACCAAACCCAGCAGGGCACTGATTGCTACGATCTCCTGTATGGTAAAGGAAGCACATGTTACTTGTGGATGAAAATACAGCCATTTTATTACTTTTAAGAAATCTTTAACATGAAGAATTGCAGCCCAGCTATTTATAAAAGATTTGTTATACTTGGACACTAACACAGAAACTTTTAAAATCCAGACTTTAGTGTTTTTTTTCCTTGGGCACTAAAAATCAGTAGTATGTGGTTTTTGCTCTTTTGAAAAACATTAAACAGGTGGGGGGGTTCCCTCAGAGGGACTGCAAGTTGCATCCCAGCCTAATACATCCCGCAAAGTTCATCCATAAGTTTTTCATTATTAAAAGAATAAAGACCATTCAGTTTCACTTCATGTAAAAGGAGGGAAATAAACCCAAACCAAATAAATCACCATGTCATAGATTGTGGGAATTCACTGTAGAAGAACACAAATGCATACTATGAACTGGTATACTCTGGTAGAGACTGCTCAGAGACCATGTGTATTTCGCTGCTTGAAAATTGATTCAATAAATACAAAGTTTTGAAAAAAATATTAATTGCTGGAGGAAATAAATGCAACACCAGTAAAGGCTTGGCCACATTTATGGACAGGCATAACTTGATCTGGAGACTCCCTTTTCCCAGACCTCTTTTAAAAATAAAAAAATCTCTTTTGGTTTTCAAATTGCCCAATGAGTTCATAGCCTGGCAAGTGGGAAAAATCATTATTTTACTTCATTTAGAATGTTGTTATTGAAAAGAGAGACAGAGATAGGCAATCCCACTTTTTCATCGACTTTCAAACCTGAGTTATTTCACTTGAAAGACGATGTTAAGTCTTACTGTGTATAAAAAGCCCAAACAGTATTTAAAAAGATAACAGGACACTCTGCTAACCAACTATGACTTCTCAAAGGAAAACCCGCTTACACAAATATATGCCCTATTCTTTAAGCTCACTTAGGTACACAGTTAATAAAAGCCAGCAGTTAGCAACGCTAACCCACAGTACAAGAGGTGATGGAGCTACTAGCTTGCCACCTCTGTGTTAGGACTCACCAGATTCACAGACCGTACATAAGCATGAGTCTATACAGCGCTGCATAACTCTGCATCACTCATAGCTGGCCTTAAAGAATATATCCATAAAGTACCAGTAAAGGTTTCAAGCTGCAGCTCAGCATCGTATTTTCTGTATATGCCAAATAATTCCAGAAATGTTCGATCCGAGGAATTACTTAGGACTTTTTACCCTAAAATGGTGAAATTCAGCACTAAAATGTGCTGAATTTTGAATGTTCTTCCACCTCATTACTACCTTACTTACATTTATGTGGGTTTTGCTGTGAGAAGAAAACACATCATCCTTTTTCTTAATAGCTATGCAAAATCAAACCCAAACATAAAACCCCACCCACACTTGACCCCACACAAAAGAGACAGTAATTTCATTTTAGAGAATGAAAGGTACATGCAAGGAAATGGAGAAATATTTTAGGCTGACTATCTGAAGCTACTGGTGATACTCATAGCAGTGTCAACAAATGCAGATGTACATCATCAATCAGAACTACAGGTGAAGAGTAAGTGCAAACTGCAACAGCTTCTACATATTAGCCTATGGGTGTATTAACAAGACATGTAGGTCCCAGGATCTACAATAAAGTTACCCAAGTTTCACAGCATTTCCTCTTTCAGGGTCATAATTGGCTTTTGAGAATATAGGTAACGAATTCTAGGAAGATAGGATATTATTTTTACACTGTTTTACTTTTGGGAAAGATTCGAACAATACCTTTTGCAATGGAAGCATGGATTTTAAAAGCCACAGCTTCTTCCAGTAGGTTGTACTCTGTTGTAACAGAAGAAGCATGGAGTGTTTCCACCAAGAAAGGCATCTTTCCTTTAGTGTAATCATAGCTGATAGTGTGGTTCCATGTATAGGGAACACTAACTCCATCTATAGTGAAGAGACGAGTAGAATGGGCGTACAGTTGCCCAGGGCCAGTCTGAATATAGTCTTCTGTGTAATCCTGAAACAGCAAGAATCAGGCATCAGCCACTGACTACAGCCAACACCACTGAGGTCTTTGTATTTTAAAGTGGTTTGAGATGTGTTCTGAGAAAGCCTTTTTTTCTTCTTAACAGCTGAACAAATCGTATTTCACACAACGTGTGCCTTTTTTACTCTTATTTTAACTGCTGAATGTTAACAGCATCTGGTATATTTCTTTAACCAAGAAACAGGCTGTGGTACTGACGATCCTTGATGATGGGTGCCACAGCAGAGGATTTCCAAAAAACCACCTGAAAATTATCTTACTGTTTGATAACAATCTTTTGAGGGCTAAATATTTTTTTTATATTCTAAGTCAGATGCTGACAACATGTGCTAAATAAACAGTTGAGAAAAATTCTGGCACTGGAAAAAAGGTATAAATATTGGACATGCTACATGTTGCAGCGTATCAAAATATCAAGAACTTCATTTATATTTATTGCACTGTGGGATTAATATATTAAAACATCTTCACTGGTTACCTACCACTAACTAATGACCACCTTTATAGAAACAACTTTAAAGAATGTTCTTTCTTTCACAGTAAAACCGATTATCAAGCACCTGGTTTTAAACCAAAACCTTAACAGCACGTATTATATGGAGCAAAATGTTTTTCATGTCTTACACTAAACTAAAAAGATAGAAAACTAGTTCCCTTGAACTCCACCTTTCTATCAGGAGTACAAGGTCAGTGATAGAAGCTGTTTCATTAGTAGCAGTAGAGAGTGTCTCCTAGAAACAATAGGCAGAGCAATTCCGTAGTGAGATTATAATCTTTTGCCATATGATCATGCAAACTGTCCTCTCTATTCATTCCCAAAAAAGTTCATAGAGGAGTGTAATTCTTTGAAAAAGCAAATTCTGTAAAATATTTCAGAAGAATTGCATAATAGGACTGTTTGCCTTAATAGATCTCCACAAGACAAAGTTTTGATGCTATAGCAGAGAGAGGAGCACACCATTAACAGCAGAACGGCAGCATGCATGGTAAGAATACATAAAATACCCTGTGATCTAATATGATTCAGAATCTGTTAATCATCTGGCTTTACAAATTTATCAGCCACAGGAACGTTTCTCCACCAGAATACATATAATTGTAGCTGCAAACAAACTTTCATCAATATTAAAAAATTTCTGCATGGTGCCATGGTATAGAAGAGCTGCTGTCATCCTCAGGGAAGCCAAAAAGTCAGACAAATTTAAGTTGCACTTTTATAGCTCTATTGAAAGCAACACCTGATATGCTTGCCTGTGATAACTAGCCCCAAAGACACTTCTCAGTACTACCTTCCGACAACTAAAAATCTTGAGTGACCAATACTGCCTTCCTGATGACAACTTTTTGTTTTCAAAGGCAACATTAACATTTGTCAATTAAACCAAGCACAAAATAAGTTACATACAGTAAAAAAGTTTTCAGGACTTAGTGTTCACTGGTTTAATTTAACAGATGAGAGACTGAGTATGTATCGGTGAGAGAAGAGGTGGTACCTCGAGCAGCTTTACCTTCACGTTAAGATCAGCTACTGACGGGAGCTGCAGCACATGGCCGCTCACAACAACATCCAGCAGCAAGGCTCCGTCTGAATCCAAGCCCCGGGCAACATGAGTCATTCGCAGAATCTCACCTATGAATTTTAAGAGCACGCTGATTTATAAAACAACCTAATCAGAGACTCGTGTTAGCCACACAGTATCTGAACGGGGATCCCTTCACCAGTTATTTCATACTCATATTTTTATAAGGTGTACCAAGCATTACGTGCTTCAAATTACAGCTCTAAAAGCTGTATTTAAGCCTCAGAAAGCCATAGTCATTCAGAAAATATGCAAAAATGGTGTAAATATAAGACTGAAAATTCAGCAACTGTTATGTGCTATTTTTTAAGAAATGCAGTATCTATCAAGCTTATTTGAAACAGAAAGAGACGATATATCACAGGTAACTAACCAGTTGCAAACTCCACTTGAGTTTCTCTCTTGAAGACTGCATCAGTGAGCGTAAAGCCATTCATTGCTTCTCCGATTTCTTTTGCAGTTGTCCAATAAACTGGGCTGAGTACAGAAACAAGCTTTCTCATTGCTGGGCCTGAAAGAAATGCGACAACATTTGAGAGTTTTTTCCCAACATCACGTGACCCACATTAGTAGGAGTTGAATATGAAGACATAAAACTAATGTAACCCTTAAGATTTAAGCCAGAAAAAATATGTATTGGTATATTCATTTTATAAATACTAATGTACTAGAAGCAAATATTGAAGGTTCCCTTTTCCTCTATGAAAAGTTTAGATCAGTTTCTTCAGCACGACTTAATGAAATGAAACAGTGAAAACTGACACTGCACAGAATTCAGCCTGACTCAAGGAAAAAGGTGATAAAAAGTAATAAAGTACCAAGGGTCCGAGGGACGTTTGTAATCTTTGCTTGTATTACTCTAGTTTCAGAGTCGGGGCTGTCTGTTACTGTGGCATTCAGGAAAGCAATTCCAAATTCAATATCATTAATATTTCCAATGATGCTGCCTTTGGCACGTGAAGGCCCACCTGTGCACGGGAAGGAAAAAAAAGGCCCATGTGAAAACTCTGCTCTCTGATATTTTGGAGAAGAGAACACTCAGATATATTGTCCAGCATTTGAAGAAGAAAGTGTATTTCTGCATATATTACTACATCATTTGCAAGAGTAAAGCTCACAACCTGCAAATAACAGGATGCTGCACATATGTGGTCTGAGATATATGCACAATAACACAGGAATCACCCTATGCACTCACCCCTGTCTGAAAAGCAGCAGTGTTTGAACAGCATACTCTAGTGCTGTGTAACAGGTTAACAAAAAATTTATCCAGCTGAAGTTGCAGGCGAGATTTAAGCAAAAAAATTTAAATATAGTTGGTCAAATGGCCAAGTCACAGGAGAGTACCAGTCAAATTAGGAGTGCCATAGGCTTTCACCATGTTGTCCCTGTGTGCAGGCTGTAAGTTAACTCACCAGGACACGCTTGGGTATTACACCTGGATATTTGTGAGGAGTCTCCAGGACAAGGACGTCCACGATTTAATGGGGCCGGATTGCTGCACAGGCGTATTCGGGCCTGCTCTCCGCCTCCACAAGAAGCAGAGCATTGGCTCCATGTTTGCCACTGCCCCCAGTTTCCATCAACTGAAGAATAAAGCACAAAGAAAGCGACTTCTTATTTTAAATGTTTCAGGCTGCATCCGTGATGCTTTAGCATCATTCCCTCTTGATAGAACCAATGTGTTAGAGAAAAGAAATAGCTAAAAGGATAACAATTCTTCATAATGGGAAGGTGTGAACACTTCTCCCCACAGAAACATATAATTTTTAAAAATTTGTTTGTCTGTCAGCTGAACTGGAAACGAGGAGTCTCCTCCAGGGGATGTTTCCAGTATAATGGCTGGAGATTTAGCAAGGGCTGGGTCAAATTCTTCCCTATGTCATGTTGAAGACGTACGACTTCATGGCTGATCAAGGAAGCTTTGTACAGTGTAAACTACATGTGTCCCTCTGAACAATCATGCAAGTCCTCCCCAAGGGCAGTATAGAGAGGTCCAGTGTGCAGTTAACAAGCTCAGCTGGCTTTGGGTGGCTGCCTATGTATCGCTCTATGGGGAGAGAAGCCATATGACCAACTGCTGCCTGACTTCTGCCAGCCACTCTCCCCAGCAGGTTCTGCAGAGGTGCCTCCTGCCAGTCTCTGCATCTGTTCCCTGAAAATATCAGGCTCCACAGAAACTGATTTCAAAACTGAAAAATCTTGTTGCATGTATGCACGCACATCACAAACCAGCTCACAAAAAGCAGCTGTCGATATTCAGAGTCTCCTGTCATACTTTTTGGTAGCTTATCACTAGAGACAACCTATCTGTCTAGAGCTTCGAGTGCTTTTAATCCTACAAAGAAAATATCTGAGATTGTATGGGTACAAAACTGATGGAAGAGTACAAGAAACCAAACCAAACATAAATCTCGCAAATAAAGAACACATGTTGGATCTATCCAAACACTCACAAGAGGTCAATTAGAGTTGGCTTGAACTACGCATGTGTGGGAGTCTGCACAGCCCCCTCTTGGTAGCACAGCCTCGATACCAACAGGTGATACAACAGGAACATGACTGTACATTGACAGAGTTATCTGGAAATGCTTGATCTGATAGGACGTTTGCCCAAAACTGGCAATGGTAAGAGTAAAGTAACAATTAAAACTTTGTTTAAGAAAACCATTAGCCAAAATAACAGTAATGAGGGAACTGAAGAGAATTATAAAAGCAGCATGAAAATTTGTGATTGGAGAAGATAAACCCAAGCAAGAGGAGGGTAAACAAGGAACACTCAGACTGGACTTGATGCTGTAACCTCCATCAAAACCTAATGGAAAATTGTCCTTGCATGCCATGAGTAACTGGTAGCCAGCTAGTAGGGGCTGATGGTATGGGGTGCAACAAGCAGAGGCCCACGTCGGGTGTGCGGGTGTGGCCTCTACAGGGGCTTTGTCACCAGCGTGTAGGTCAGGAGGGTGTTCAGTGTGGCACAGGCACACATTAAGTTGGAGCTCCTGCATCTCCCACAGGAGAAAGGTGTGTAAAGGGGTGCACATAGAGGAGGGATTTAATAATTTTTTATTATTATACCATAATAATAACAACAATAATAATAATAACAATAATAATAATAAAATCCCTTTCTGGGATTACATAGTTTTAGACGGGTGTTTAGAAATTTGTGGGTGTTTCGTTTCCAGCATTGTGGTTTATCTTCTGTGTTGATGATATTGATCCTGAATGTGTAAGTCCACTGACTGCCCCTTAGTTATGTATTGTCAATAAATCAATTAACTACTTGGATTGTCATTTTATGTAAAGCATTTAAGATAGGCATTCTTCCCTGCTCCTGGAATACATTATGAGAGACACTGGGAGCCTCATAAACTGTATTTACTGTAAAAAGTAAGTAGAATTATCAGTTGTAGGAGAGATTTTCATATCCTATTTCCTGCTTTGAATTATTCTACCTCATTTTGGGAAGATCTAACATGAAGGGCAAGTCCTCGTAAGGTGACAGTCATTTAAATAAAAAAGTGACAGAGTAGATTATTACATTGTATAAAATTGTACATAATTACAGAAATGTTCTACATTCCTTTCATAGTATGAAAACCTCACATATGTTATGTATACCCTGAAGTCTTCCAGGGAAAGCTGCATTATCTCTGCTAGTCTGAGCACTCACCAGGGCACAGTTCAGCGCCACATCTCTGGATCTGCATGTCAGCCCCTGCACATGCCCTTCCACCACTGGCAGGGCGAGGATTGTCACAGGTCCGGTATCGCCTCATCTGGCCTCCGTTGCACGTTCGACTACAAGTTCCCCAACTACTCCACGGACCCCAGTTGCCATGAACTGTAAAAATATGTCAGATTTTATCTGTCTTCCTCTTAATAACAGGTACTTAAAAACAGTCAAGCTAGGAAAATACTCCCATTGGAGAGTAACTTTGTAATTCCTTTTCCCAAAATAAAAATAAAAACCCCAGACAATTAAAGATCTAAGAAAGTTATCTTGTTCAGCATTCAGTAATTTCTTAGAGTAACCAACTCCAGAATGTCGTTGTTCGTAGGAAAGCATGCAGCACATATTATTAACCAAATGAGTCACTACACTCTACTGCGAGCCAGAGAGATTCCCTTTGCAGTACTTTCTGACTGGACAGTTGTAACTTTAGAGAGGTGTGTGACCTCTGACAGTCCAGCAGGACCTTATGGACCAGCTGCTACTGGTTTGAGGTCCTAACAGTTAATATTTAAAATGTCCCAGTCACGCTGAATGATGAAGAAGAGATGCTTTCACCCTTGCCAGGCAGCTAACACCACTTGCCTGTGTTCAGACCCCCTAATTTTTGTGGGAGTGTGTAATTTGTGGAGGGCTTCCTTCCTCTTGTGCATACACAAAAACCCTAACCCAAAGCACTTACTCGGACAAGGATCACTGTTGCAAAAATCAATTTGTATATCGTTTCCTTCACATTTGTGACCCCCAAACTGTGGGGCTGGGTCTGAGCAGTGGCGTGTTCTCTGCCTGCTGCCTCCTCCACAGGACACGGTGCAGGCATTCCAGCTGCTCCACATGGCCCACTTCCCGTCCACTGGTGAGAAAGTCACAGCATGATACAGTTACAGTCTCTGACATTAGAAATAACAACGTAAATCCATGCTACATCAGGGTAAAACTGTCCGTAGGATGTTATTGACTCTCTGTAGAACATCTAAGCTACATAGGGATTTGCAGGAGTGAAACTGGAGAAAAGCATACCTGTCTTCTAAATAACCTGTAAGCCTGACCAGAATAATAGTCAGGGATCACTCAGTCCTCAAGCTCAGTCGCTCTCACATTTTTAGGCATCCATAAGTAAGTCAAACTATTTACAAAGTAGTCCCTGAAATTACCACACTGGGCAGATGACCGGTACTAGTGCCATCCCAAAAACCCAGTCTTTACTTGTGCATCCTCCTCTGGTTGCAGCTGCACTGTCTGAAGATGTAACCATTACCACCTTCTCCCCACTCCTTCCTAAACAACCTTTGATTTATTGGTTCAGCTATTTATAGGAATTCTTACTAAATTATCTCACATGAACCAGGTCTAAGCAGTTGAGTAGTAGGGTCTTTGAACTTCCAAAACATGGTGACACAAACTGTTATGGGTACATCCATGTGAGCACTTGAGGTTGAGAAGAGGCTGATCAGTCACAAACCAGCTGTAAGCAATAGCACCCTCAGCAGCAGCACACGGAGCGGGACAAATGTACAACACTGAGCTCTCAGTTGCTTGACTACCACAAGGTCAGCTGTCTCTTCTATCAGTTGATAGTTACAGTGGGGACTCAGTGTAGGATCTGGCATGTGCAAAATGAAGCATGAAGCCAGAAGGATTTAGTCTGAACTGCTGCACATTTCACTTCATGAAATTCCCCTTCATTACCCCTGCACTCAGTCAAATACAGAGGTCATATCTCAAAAATGTGAGTTTTCCTATCCAGTCATGAAGGACTCACTGAAATGTGGAAGAAAAGGATAAATGAACAACAGAACCTAGGAAATCTAAAAGGTGAAATGTTTAGGAAACCTGTAATTTAACTGCCAAGGATTTAAAATGCTGGTTTTGCAGAGGGGCATGGTAAAGGAAAAGAGACAAGGATAGGAGAAGAAATCCCATGTTAGGTCTATAGAGGGATGCTAAAGATAGTGACAGGGGCCAGTGAAAACAAAAGGCTTGAATGGAATTTTTTCAGGGACTACACTTTCAGAACTGGAAAGCTTTCGATATAAACTAAGTAGAATTTGGAAAGGAAATTACTAGTTTGCGATTGCTCTCTTTGTGTCCAAGACATCTTACCTGGGCAGCGTCTCTTGTTGCAAACCTGCATCTGTGCATCAGACCCCTCACAGTATGATCCATCATGTGAGGGAGGAGGATTATTGCAAAGTCTCAGTCGTGTCTGAGTACCTTTCCCACAAGTCTCGCTGCAAGGACCCCATGGCAGCCAAGAACTCCACTCGCCACCAACTGCAAAGGCAGGCAGCACAGCTATAAAACTGTTTAAACTATAAAGCTGCTTTAACTTGAAATTATAGCTCCACAGACTAAGGCAAAAAAAGCTCCATTGTTTAATATCAACAAATGAAATATCCTTCACCTTAAGCAACAACTGAAATGGGTCCGCAGTTTGCAAAAGAGAGGCTAATTATTTCCTTTTTGTTTTCAGAATACATCACCTCACTCAATCTTGGAACAACAGAACTGAACGCTTGATCAAATCCAATGTTTTCATAAGTTACCTGGCTCTTGACTGTCCTGTGCTAGGCTGAAAGTCTTAGCAGGGCAAAGGGCATGCTAGCTAAAAGCTGGTACAGAGCTTCAGTGGCTACCAGTAAGCAGGAGCCAGAACTAATTTTGTTGCCAAGATCTACAGAAATGAATCTTAGGCCGGTGGATGAACATTTGGCATCATGGTGGTAGCAGAGCCAGGGAAGAAGGGAAAAATCAATATAATAAAAATTTGTACAGAAGGAAACATGTCAGCGGTGAAGGGTTATGAATAAACTACAACCTGTCAAACGTGGGAAGTACTACCAAGACAGAAAGGAACCTGAACATACAGCTAGTTAGGAGAAAGATGTGGCTGGAAATTAAAACAACAGAAGAAAATATACAGATAATGTCTTAAATGATTAACTATGACATTTTACATGGCTTTTTAATAGTTGGTGATGTGTTGGTTTTGGGTTTTGGTTGGGTTTTTTTGTTTGCTTTTTCATTTCAATGGGCTTTGCAGAATAGGTTTAGGGTAGCAAGTTTTACTCTGTGAGAACATAGGCAACAAGTACTGGAAAACAACAAAATACAAAATTAACATTTTTATTGAATATTCCTTGCATTTACTTTTGTTTCCAAGAACTAGCGCCATTCAATAAATTACAAGCAATTTTAAAAGAAAAAAATTGCAAGCTTAGTTCTTTTATAATTCAATAATTCAAAACAAGCTGAGGTAATTTGGGTTTGGAGAAAAAAAAGAAACCTATACAGGAAGTCCCTTGTGCAACTAATTTTAAACCACTCTTCTCTTACCTGGGCAAGGCCTAATGTTACACATGACCAAATCCACAGCACTGCCATCACAGGGCTTCCCACCATGCTGATATGGTGGGTTACTGCAGGTTCTGGTTCTGGTCCTGTTACCTTGTCCACAGCTCTTTGAACACTCTTCCCACAGTCCCCATTCGGACCAGTTGCCATCCACTAAGAAACAGAAGACCCCACAGCCATAATTAAAAAAATATTTTTGCAGTATTTATTGAAATTTCCTCTTCCTTTCTACGGAAGTCAAAATGAATTCTAACTTAGAAAAATCTGTCATCAGGATCCGTGATGATAATGGTTCACTGTTAAGGCACACTAAAAATATCAATTCATTAGAGAAATACCTGGACATGGCTTGTTGTGGCAGCTGCGTACATCCGTATCGGGCCCCTCACACCTCCTCCCACCATTTGCTGGAAGAGGGTTGTTGCACTGACGAACTCGCTCCTGAACACCTTGACCACAAGTTACGCTGCAAGCTCGCCATTCAAGCCAATTGGAAAATCCACCATGTACTGCAGTGGGAAAAACCATGCTGTTTGTAATGTGCTCGTGCTTATAACTCTTTTAGACTGATACAGCAAAGTGCAAAATGTGCTTCACAAGCTGTACTTGGAAATCCAACTCACTTTACATCTTCATTATTGCAGAAACTTCTTACTACAGTTCAGAGAATATTTCAGCTGCCTTGCAACAGTTATTGCTTATGCTCCTAAATGCTTTTCTTTAGAGGTAAAATTAAGTTATCATACATGTTCTGAGGTTGGGATATAGTTTAAGACACTTTCATTACTATTTATGTCTCTCAATCCTTCACAGTCATCTGTCTCACACAGCTGGATGAGTATAACGGAAGGACCAAAGTTACATGAAGTAGAAACCACTGACGTCTCAGACTAGGCTTAACAAGTTCCTAAAGTGTATATGGAAGACAGGACAAAATATCTTATCCATAAAATGTGGATAAGATAAAATCTTGATTATATTTATTCACAATTTCTGCTGGAATCTAATGGTTTGATAGTGGTTACCATATTTTGTGCACCTACCCTGGACAGTCAGTGGTACTCTAACAAGAGCAGATCCCATTAGATTCCTTGCTACACACTCATATTCAGACGTATCTTCCTTCTGCGCTGCAACAATACGCAAGGAGCCATTAGACAGGACAGTCACTCTCTCATCGCTCACAACTGGATGACCTCGGCGGGACCATTTGATGGTTGGAGGAGGCTCTCCATTTGCCTGGCAGTTCAGCATTGCTGCGGCACCAGCTTCAATAACTGTCTCTACAGGTTCAACACTAATGACTGGAGGACCTGAAAGAGAAAGGTTTCTTTAGGCAACAACACACAGTTATATTTTTTTCATTGTATTGAAAATTAAAGGTCTGGTCAGAATGAGGGCAAAAAAATCTTGAGTCAGTTTACTTTGACTAAAATTATTATTGTTGCTCTTCCACTGTCAAAATGTATGCAAGTTAAAATGACAATGATAGGCTACTTTTAATACACAGCAATCTAAGGACCAAAGCTGGGATTGAGGTCTGACTATATGAGCCCACAGTGTTCTTTATGGCTAAAATGTGTTGGTTTTCATAAAACCTGCAGGAAGATTCTATTAATCATGTCCAGAGGCAACTGAGACATAAGTCACAGATCCACATTGCTTGAGGCTATAATAGAAAAGGGATGTTGAGAAATTCTATCACTAGTGAAAAAATAATTCAAAAACATTATTTCTACCAAAAATAAAATATTGTCAGTGAAAGCTGGGATTTTTCTCACGTAATTTTCTTACTTTAAAAGTTAAGAGTCTAGTCCAGTTGTACAGACATCCTCTCTAATCAACTAAGAGAAATGGGCACTTTCAGAAGGTGATTTACCTCATTTTAAGCTGGTTTCTAAGATGAGGCTAAATCACCCTCCATATGCTTCTCTTCTTTGACCTCAATCATTAGCTTAGACTCTTAAATATTAATGACTGTATAT